CGCTGTGGCTCAAGTGGTAGAGTGCTAGCCTTGAGCTGAAGAGCTGAGGGACAGCGCCCAGGCCCAGAGTTCAGGCCCCACAACCGGACCCCCCCCCAAAAAATTTAAAAAACATTTAAAAAATAAAAGGAGATGAGGGGCTGGGAATGTGGCTTGGTGATAGAGTGCTCTCCTAGTCTGTATGAAGCTTTCGATTCCTCAGTACCATATGAACAGAATAAGCCAGAAGTGGTGTATGGCTCAAGTGGTAGAGTGCTAGCCTTGACCACAGAGAGGCTCAGGGACATTACCAGGCCCTGAGTTTAAGCCCTAGGACTGCAAAAAAAAAAAAAGGCCCAGTGAGGTAGGTTGGGTGCATTAGCTAAAGCTTATAATCCCAGTTACTTGGGGATAGGGAGGCTGGAGACAGGAGGATCAGATGCCAGCCCCTGGCAGAAATGGCAAACCCTGTTGGGCACTAGTGGCTTATACCTGTAATCCTAGCTTCTCATGAAGTTGAGATCTGAGAGTCATGGTTCAAAGTCAGCTTGGGCATGAAAGTCGAAGAGACTCTTATCTCCAATTAAGGATCAAAAAGCTTAGAGCTGTGGCTCAAGTGATAGGGCACTAGCCTTGAGCACAAAAACTCAGGGACACCACCTAGATCCTAAGTTTAAGCCCCAGGACTAGCACCAAAAAACAAAACCAAAAAATCTCCAAAAATCCAAACCAAAAAACCCCCTAACAAACCCAACAAACCAGATCCTACCTGAAAAAGAATAGTTGGGGACATGGCTTAAGTGGTAGACCATACAAACAAAGAATGTGACACTGCAGGATTCTAGAATTAGAAATAAAGTCAATATCCTTAAAATGAATTTGTTATAATTTGTCTTTAGATATAACAAATCCCTTCCAGTACATACATATATACATATACATACATACATACATATATATATATATATATATATACACATACACACACATACCCCCACACACATTATATAAACACACACACTTATTGTCTAGTAGTTCTGTTTCTCTGGGGAACCCAAAGTAGACAGACTGGGAACAGGTGGATAAGGTTTTCCTTGTTTGTTTCATTCTTCCTCCTACTCTGTCTCACCAGAATAGGGGCTGGCAAGATGCAGGGACTCAATTCAAAAGTTCCTATTTCTACAAATTAAATAAAAACACAATTAAAATTTAGTAGGTGCTAAAACTTGGTTTTGAAATTTTATTAAAAAAATATATTTGCAAACATATAAAATTTAGGATGAAAAATGCTCATTTTCAAACATGTAATAACTTAATATTTGCAAACATACACAGATGGTATAAAACCCATACCATTAAAAATGTTAATGATGCTGTATTGTGCTCATAGAATGAAAACCTTGCTGTCATTCCAGAGCTTCTTGTCTCCATGTTTCAGGGAGCTGAGAATCCGGTACAATGAAAGTCATGAGAGTCACATGGCCAAAGCAGTAATATGGAATAAAAGATAGTTTAAAAACACATTTTCTAAGGGAAACACAACTTTGCATTTTTTCCCACTTCAAAGTGATCGACATTGCATTTTAACATTTTAAAGAAAGATGTCAAACCCAAATTGAAGCAAGACATTGCACACATTTCTCCTGCTGAAGTCTGCTGGGGAAAAAAAGGCTTCTTGAGGCCCTGGCCCACTCATGGAAGTGTTCTCAAGTGCAGCTTTAAAAAAAGTCTATTAAGCTGTTCTGCTTCGCCAGATATTAATATTATAAATACTTGAAAACACATGACACTATTGGTTCCAGAAGGTACCCTGAATAGCACTGAAGAAAACCAAAGATTAGGCAAGAAACACATGCCCTACAGCAAATGTGCAGCAAGGGCCTGGGTTTGAGGCCTCCTTACCTACATGGGCAGAGCCCACTCCTGCCTGTGCTCATTTCATTCCTCTCCAAGTTACAGTATGATGGCTGATTTTGTTTATTAAGCAATTAGGCACCTTCGATTTCATGTTGCATTATTAGTAATACAATGGCAGTTATGGCCTCTTCTAACAAAGTAAGAAAATACCAAACTACATTCTTAGTGAGGAGAGAAAGCTGCATGATTTAAAATATTTACCTTGTAATGGATTCAATAAGAGTTTATCATTGCCACAAGAAAATAGAGGCCAGAAATAGAACGCTTAGTCATGCAAAACCTTGTCAGCCATATTCTAAACTAAGTCTGCATCCTCCTGTAGAGAAGGGCCCAGGATCTTGACTTAGGTTCTAAGAAAACCACCACTCTAAGGGAAGCTGAGGGTGTCCTATATGGAGACCCCATGAAATGCTTCTCCTTACAGATGGTTACTTGAAAATTGAAGATTCAAAGTCAAGCAGGCCAATGTCCATGCCCATAAATTATGGAAGATGCATCACAAAGGAGGAACAAAGTGGTTTGGAAGGTACTGGTGATAAGGGGCATGTGAATCTACTCAAAGGCATCACTCACATCTCACATTAACTACAACAAAAAGAGCAATGCCCCCACCCCCGGGGCACCCCAGACACACCATACTCCAAGCTGTGTGCTGCTCCTCCCAGAGCCTACACCTGGACCACAGGAGCAAAAGGTGTGGGCGATGCTCACAGATGGACAGAGTGGACTAAATGCAGAACTCCAGAGGTGCTGTAAAACCTAGCAAGAAGCATCTCCATCTTGGCATCCATTTTAGAAGGTTCCAGTAAAGATACTGTAATAATGTAAACATGCAGCCTAAACTAGCATGAGGTTCTGGATAGTAAGCCTGAATGAGGAATAAGGCAACCAAATGTGACTTTCAGGCCAGGCCCATATAATTGCAACTATCCAGGCTTGGCCTGGTTCTCTGGAGACATGCTGGCCTGAACTTCTGGTAATCATGATCACCAACTTCTGGCTTCTGAATTTTAAGTAAATGCTTTGAATATATAGATTTGGGAGTTGAAACAGGTTGACCCTTTTCAAGTCTCCATTTCTTGGGCACTTAAAAAGCTTATGTCCACACTAAGGAAGTCTTATCATAGATTCTCTTTTAACTATTATATCCATCCCTAGAATTAAAGGGCAAAAATTAACAGATTTGATTATGGACCCTTTTTAGAATATTTGCTCTTTATCTCACATATTATCATACATATACAAAAGCATCATTTAAATTCAAATGTCCATTATACATCTCTTGATATGTCTGTTTACTGAAGCCTACTGAGACTATAGTTGGGTGTGATTAAACCTACTGGTATGTCATATTATGAGAACAGCCACGTGGCCCCTTGGACACCATCTCCTGGCATCAGCCACACTCCTAATCTTACTACAACTTCATCTTTCCAAGATGATGCATGAGCAGTTCATTTTTGGTTGCTGAATTTACATACTATCTTTGAAAACAAACTATTCCTAGTTGAATATAACTTACAAGCTTCCCTGAATTCTGCACAATGGACATCTAACTAGGTAAACAACAAAAGAATATACTATATTGAGAAGCAGAAACATTGTTCAGGAAGCTTGCCCAGATTTACAGAAGCCAACCAAACAAGGTATTCTTTATGCTAAAAACCTAGGCCAAACTAAAACAAGTATGTAATTCATAAGTAATTTTCTAAAAATTCAGCTAGAAAGAAATCTATGGATTTACGACTGAGTTACCATTAAAGCTTAAATGATTGTTCCCAAGGAACCATCACATTTGTCAGCATTATTCACAGCTAATCCTTATGCTAGCTGGTTGAGCCAATTGGGTTTTTTCCCCCATCATTAAATAGTGCTCAGAAAAGTAAGCAGTGCATCTTAATAGGTTAAATACTACAAAATGACCTGTATCATAGAAACAAAGACACTCATTCAAAGAATATCTTAAAATTACTATTGCTGAAATAAATCCAATTCTACATTAAAATCTTACTAAACATCATTACATGCCATAAAAGAATAAGTATAAATCATGGCAGATCAATAGCAGCATAACAAAGCGTCTTTATATATTTCACACTTTGGGCTGGGAAAGGATTCACAGCCTAGAAATACATTGGTAAAGTTCTGAATCTCACGCTTTCTTTTTAACTCCACATTCTACAAGAAAGTAAGGGCAGTGTGAATAACAGCTCCTTTTTCTGCATAGCTTTAAACTGTTTTCAGTACACTTGAGGAATGGAACCAAAATGGCTTTGTCAGGTTGGTCCACTGGTCCTTTTGTCAAAGTGTTAAGGAAAACAATTAACAATGACTTCTGTGTTTAGACAGAAAAGGAAAATAAGGCTGTGTTTCACACACAAACTTAACATTTTCAAAACCACTGGAGAGTTTAACTTAAAATGGAGATTTCTAGTAGGATCTGGGCATGTGCAGTCCCAGCCTCAAAGGTGTCACATGCCTCTTCCTACATCACCAAAGAGCCTCCTTGCAAGGCCCTGGTCAAATAGCAATGCCACACTGGGGCCTACCACATGGCGGGACTGGGGATACTTAAAACAAAACACAAGGAAATTTCAGTACTCTTAAGGCCCAAATGGGGGTGCTCATATAAAATACACTTCACTTGAACAAATAATTCCTAATTCATCAACGTGAACTCTGATCCTTAAAAGTGAAGCTACTTTGCAGAGCTAGCTCTTGCTTAGTTTGGAACTTGACCATCAGCCAGGGTTTCTAGGGCTGCTGCTGAGGCTGAGCTTGGCTTCGAGGCTGGTGACCACTCTCCCCAAGTCCTTGAAGGTGAAAACAAACTGAAAAGTCAGACTCCTTATGTCACACATGTTCTCACAGCTATGAAAACACCCAGAGGACATAACGATCTTTTTTGTTTTTGTCAAAACAAAGGTCTGCTGGTGATGCTTCACAGTGAAACCTCCATTATCACTGAGAATGTCACTTGAAAAACATTCAAAGGCGTGAGTCTCTTTCTCATAGGCTCAATTTCAGGATTCTCAAAACTCCATGTTCCACTCAGAGACAGGTTTCCATAATGAAGCCTATTTGTGGGGCTGATTCTTGCCTCCAGGTCTACTCCATGGCAGTCATAGGTTGTGGTTGTCTTTGTTCTTGTTCAGAACCTGCAAGTAAACTTCATGAAGTGTACTAAGGAAGCTGGAATCATTCTGGAAGAGATAGCAAAGGTAAAAACACATCATGTCACATTTATTTGTTCGGAGCCCACTTCCTTAGTTGGTAACAGCTTAGCAAAAGATTGTACAAATGATGGGTATGGCTTATAACTAATTACTTAAATAGTCTCACCACCCAGAGCTACTCATCAATATCCTGGAATCTACTCAGTTATTATTCTATTAGGAACAAATGCTTGGAGGATAAAAACATTACTCTCAGCTATTCTGAATTTATAAGGACTTATAAAATTAATTTTCTTTTATTAAAGAATTAGGGAACCCAGACTAATTGATATCTTACATACCTTTATTAGATGTATTAATGTATCCTGGAGCTGAGACTTGCTGAGAATAATGGAAGGCTTTTTCTGATTTTCTGGAGTTGTAACGGTGAGGGGAGATGGGGGGCCTGTTTTCCTCTCAAGGTCTGCAGACCTTGGAGCTGTGTTCTGGAAAACACTTGGGGCCAGCAAGACTGAAGCTACTGCAGTAGTTGTTGCGGTAACCAATGGAGGGCCTGCAACCTGAAGGGGAACAATGTCATTCCTCACCCAAGGGTAGAAGCTGGGGCCCCATAGCCCCCACCTGCTTTTATATGTCACCTCATAATTTACAAATAGCAAACAGCTTGCCAGTTGACTTTATAAACTTAACTTATAGGTTGGGGATATAGTTCAGTGATAGGACACTTGCCTAAGACCCAGGGTTTGATCCTTAATACTGCAAAAAGTCTAGCTATATGATTAAAGCAACAACAACAAAACCCCAACTACCTCTTTTCTTCCTTCAGATGTGCTTCTATCTAGTTATACTTATTAACAAGATTACAATATATTAGTAATACGAAATTTAAAATATTTCTCACATTCTCTTGACTTTTGTATTTTGGGTGCTTGAGACTGAACTCAAGGCCTAAAGCATGATAAATATGTGCTATACTAAGGAACTTCACCAGCAGTGCTTTTGCTCTTACAAAGAGCTTGCCAGAGTTTTAAGGCTGTGTTTTCTGGCATCTAAGCCATTTAGCCTGGTTTTTGGCACAAAACCATGCTAAGAGCTATTGATCATGTGAAAGCATGACAAGCTAATCAAGATCAGGCTGACTTTAAATTCTGAGCCCCAAGGAGAGGTGTAAAGGCTCAAAGCAAATGGGAATTTGACATGTGAGGAAGAAAAAAAAGAATATGCACTTTGGGGCTAGGAATATGGCTTAGTGGTAGAGTGCTTGCCTACCATCCATAAAACCCTGGAATTGACTCCTCAGTACTACATAAACAGAAAAAAGCTGGAAAGTGGCACTGTGGCTCAAGTGGTAGAGTGCTAGCCTTTAGCATAAGAAACTCAGGGACAGTGCCCAGGCTCTGAGTTCAAGCCCCATGACTGGCAAAAAAAAAAAAGAACAGAAGAATATGCATTTCAAAGCTGGTGATAAAGAATGAGGATGGGGCTGGCTAATGCTCCCAGCTGGCTCCCAGCTACTTAGGAGATGGAGATTGGGAAGATCAAGGTTCCTAGCCAGCCAAGGCACACAGCAAGATCCCAACAAGCTGGGTATGGTGGTACTTGCTTGTAATCCTAGCTATGCAGGAGGCGTACATAAAAGGATTATAGTTAGAGAATGACCTGAGGGAGAAAAAGTATGAATCTCTGAGAAAAAACAAAGGAAAAAGGGATGAGGGCATGGCCCTATGTGGTGAGAATACGAGCAAATGTGAGACCTCAAGTTCAAACTGCAGTACTGACCAAAAAACAAAGAAACCAAAAAAACACAGGGTGAGAGTCAGGGAGGATAAACAAGGGATGAAGAACACACAGACCCAGAGGCTTTATATCAGAGTAACAGGAAATGAGAGGCTTGTGGCTGTGTTCCCTGGGATACCATAGCTCTTCCAGAACAGTAAATACTTCCTTCTTAAGAATTCAGGCTGACATACTCTTGGCCATCTACTTAAAAGGGCCAAGCAAAAGCCTACCCAGGACTGTCCTGACCTCCATTTGATTAGGGAAGAGATCATATGAGAGGACATGAGGCTTGGTCTAGGTGATGTATCAAAGATGGGTGAGGGCGTGAAAGATAAAAATTTTACTTTGCATGTAAGAAAAACAAGAAATCCTCAATGTACTCTTGAGAAAAAGGGGATCCTTACCGGGATGGCACTGGACAACACCTTGGGTTGGGCAAATACTTCAGGATCCTGGTTTTGCTGCATAGACTGCAAGGTTTAATAAGAAAAGATGAACAGATATACCAAGTTTCAGTTAGTTAGTGGTGCGAAATCAAGAATGGTTCACACATTTAGCTATTGGATTGCTGGGGGAAGAGGCTCACAGGAACTTGTCACAGTGTGATCAGTGACTCTTGTTGTAGAGACAACAAGAACCTCAAACAGCTCTCCTATTGAGGTCCCCTCAGAAAAGGCATGCAGTCAGATCCTTTTACATGTCTTAAAAAAAAAAAAAGGTGATGCCAGGAATGGTGATGCATGCCTGTAATCACAGCTACTTAACTCAGGAGGTAGAGTGAGAGGGTTTTGGCTCAAGGGCAGCCCAGGCGAAAAAGTTAGCAAAGTTATTTCAAACAGTAAGCTGGGTGTGGTGGTACATGCTTATAATCCCAGCTTATGAAGAGGGGGACATAGATAGGAGGATCCTGGTCTGAAGCTAGCCCTGGCAAATTATGAAACTCTAGCAAAAAACAAAAACAAAACAAAATACAAAAACAAAGCTGGGACCTGTATCTCATGTAAGAATATAATTGTTGGGGACAACTCAGGCCTGTTTCTGCTGCAGTATGTAGATTAGAGACCTTGGGGAGCTAATGTCCCCCTCCCCCACCCTGTTAGCTTCCTAAGGTCCCAAATGCTCTCCTATCTCCAGGCCTCTGTACACTATTCTCTCGGTCTCAAATAGTTTTCAACTCTGAACAGTGTAGCTAACTTCTGAGTCTCTTGAGTAGCAGCTGACATGTCAGTTTTACTAGAAAGCTTTATTGGCCCTAGACCTTCAGATTTGGGGTGCTGGCACTTGACAAGTACTGAAGGAAGTGCAAATGGATCTAAGCCCAGAAAGATTTAGATCTATGGCCAAAAATGACAAATACAAAGAACCTTAGGAAAAAATACAAAGAACCTTTAAATATGGTGTCTTATTATTTTAAATCAGTTGAACTAATTTTGGGAAGCAGAATTGAGTGACAGCACCACTGACTAATTATAATTAGTTCACAAAGGGCTTGTTACCACCCCTTTCTCCTAGCCCTTGATATTTTTTCCTCTCTGATCCTGGGGCCTGAATTCTGTGCCTGGACACTGTCTCTAAGCCTCTTTGTGCTCTACTAATGCTCTTTGTGCTCTACTAATGCTCTACCACTTGAGCCATAGCCACTTCCAGCTCTTTCTGAGTGAGTGGTTTATTGGGTATGAGTTTCATGAACTCTGCCTGGGCTGGCTTCAAACTGCGATCCTCAGATCTTAGCATCTAGAGTAGCTAGGATTATAGGTGTGAGCCACTGACTCCCATTTCTTTATAACTACTCTGCCTTACATCAATCAAAAGCAAAATCTTGCTGAACACCAGTAGCTCACATCTAGCTACTCAGGAGGCTGAGATCTGACGATTGTGGTTCAAAGCCAGCCCAGGCAAAAAAGACCCCGTGACTCAGGCTCAGGGATGGCACCCAGACCCTGAGTTTAAGCCCCATAACCGACCAAAAAAAAAAAAAAAAAGCAAAATCTTTGTTTCCCCTACCCATGCCTTCCTGTTTCTGCCATTACCTGGAGGGGAGCAAGCACCATGTTGCTCAGGGAGGCTGGGGCTGCTGTTCTTGCTGCTGCTGCCTTACAGGGAGGCTCTATGAAGCTGTCAGGTGTGGCCAGCTGGCCAGCTGCTGGAGAAAAGCCGGGTGCCACTGCACCTTTCCCAAGTGGCTGTGTTGGTATTTGGTCGTGCTGTGGGGTCAACCTGAGTTTCTGGAGAAGATCAATGCTTGGGAGGGATGTAGCAGCCGTGTTTGTCATGCTCCGCGGAGCTCTGAAAGGGCTTTTGCTGGCTATTAGACTGGTGTGGCTTAGTTCAGGGACTGGCTGGTTCAGGAGTGGAGACCTCTGTCTAGGTGTAGTCTTCACTGCCTGCATCATGGTGCTGTTTCGAGGTAAGCTGGGGGGAACCTGTGTGGTGGGAACTTCTGCTGGTAGAGTGGGACTGAGAACAGGACTCAAGGGGATGCCGTAGCTCGGGGCATGCTTTTCACTGGACTGTGTGATGGAAGCTGGAGTGATCAGCACCGGAGTGGTGACTTCAGGCTGGACAGCATGGTGGGTGGCTGAATGGACACCCAGGCTTTCTGACTGAGGGGCTCCTCCTGACTGATCAAAGGGAAATGGGAGGAAGGAGCTAGGCTCTTTCTGGGATGTGTCTTCTGGTAGTTTCTCCACTTCTTCTGAATCTAGACCCACAACTGCTGGCTGTTCCTTTGGTAAAGATGTTCCAAACAGCTCTTCCACTGTCAGATGTTTATGTCCAGATGCAGCAGGCTGAAAAACAATGACCACCAATGAAAAGAACTTCTGTGGACTTGTATAACCAAACTTATTTTCCATCAACCAAAATAGTTTGCAGAAGGGCAGATGGAGACTTAAAATAAGGAATGGAATAGAATGGAGATGTGCCAGGGTTAGATCAGAGTATACCTGTCTCTCCAGATTGGTGAATGGAAATATGCACTAATGATAAATTCAAATTTTTGGGCTTCTAGGCAATAGTGTTAGAATGCCTTTTCCCCCTAGCATATGTTGAAGTAATTATGCCCAATTGCTCCATGTCAGCAACATGCAAAGGGGGAATGATGTTGGAGAGGATAGTGACTGGGTTCTACTCAAGTGGTTTATTTTTGATAAAAGCTGGTATTGCACCTCAGGGACTGACTAGGTCCTAAATAACAGGAAATATATTTAACCATTTAATAGCATGTCTTCCCCACTCTGTACTGTCAAGTCACAGAATCTTCAAGAAAAACCAAGAAGCATGGCTTAAATGCTCTAGCACCTGCTTAACAAGCACAAGGTCTTGAGCTCAAATACCAGTACCAATACAAATGAAGAAAAACCAAGCTGCCAAGTTAAAATTTAAATACAGTTTAGTGAATTGACTTACCAACACTATTGCAACTATTCAAAGGGGGAAAACACTCACACTTTCCATGGGGTGCTTCTTTGTACCTTTAGTTAGTATTGTTGGGCCACTTAACTTTTATACCTGAGTACTCACAGGATTTTTAAGTCCTGTTCTGACTTGAACTTAAGGGACATAAGCAGAGAGTAAGAGTCTTCACTGAACTTCCTTTAGTGTGACACATTAATGTACTAAGTACTTTGAAAACACAAGCAGTTAAGTCAAGGTTTTATTCTTAAAATGTGTGATTAGTTTAGTTGCTTAGATATATCTTTAGAGTGAAATCATTAATTCATGGAGACACATGACTTTCATGGCTAAAGCACACTGCACTTGCATATCATAGTATGACCTTTTTATAGGACTGCATTTTTTGTTTTTTTTGGTCGGTTGCAGGGCTCAAACTGTGGACACTGTCCCTGAGCCTGTTTGCTCAATACTAGTTTTCTACCACAGCACCACTGAGGTTTTTCTACCCGGCTGGCTTCAAACTGTGATCCTCTTATCTCAGCCTCCTGATGATAGAATGAAAGGTGTAAGCCACCAGCACCTGGCTAGGATTACAATTTTCCAGGGTTTTTTTTTTTGTTTTGTTTTTTTTGACGGTCGTAGGGCTTGAACTCTGGGCCTGGGCGCTGTCCCTCAGCTATTCAGCTCAAGGCGAGCGCTCTACCACTTGGGCTACAGTGCCACTTCCAGTTTTCTGGTGGTTTATTGGAGATAGGAGTCTCATGGTCTCTCCTGCCCGGGCTGGCTTTGAACCGTGATCCTCAGATCTCAGCCTCCTGAGTAGCTAGGATTACAGGCGTGAGCCACCAGCGCCCGGCTTCCAGGGTTTTTGTAAAGTATTTGTTTCATGTAACTGTACACTCTGGTGCCTACATAAAGAACAGATTGGAAGGATGAAATTACAGACTTCTGAATTTAAGACTGGCAGAGAAGATGAGAAATGAGGAGTTAGAAAGGTAGGAGTCAGGGGCTGGGAAGGTTGCTCAGTTGTAGAGCACTTGCCTTGCATGCCTGAGGCCCTGGGTTCGATTCCTTAGCACCATATAAGCAAAAAGAAAAAAGCCAGAAGTGGCGCTGTGGCTCAAGTGGTAGAGCGCTAGCCTTGAGCTGAAGAGCTGAGGGACAGCGCCCAGGCCCAAAGTTCGGGCCCCCCAACTGGACCCCCCCGCCAAAAAAAAAAGAAAGAAAGAAAGGCAGGAGTCAGTAGCTGGCTGGCTAGCCAGCCCAGTAGAGTATAGAGTATAGTTAAGAGGATACCTGGCCAGGTACCAATAGCTAGAACTGTACAGGTATAGTTTTTGTGTAAAAAAGTTCAAAGAGGACACCCTGGTGCCTGGGTGGAGTGCCACTTACTTGGGAAGGTAAGCTCAGAAAAGGTCCCAAAGAGGAGGATGTGAATGTATGTATGTGCCTGCACATGTGCGTGTGTGCGTGCGTGTGTGCGTGTGTAAAGTGAGCTCTCTGTGGGACATATGAAACCCAGAGGTATTGAGTTGGAAGTTATCAAAAGTGTTAATGTAAGTCTGGGAACAAATCTCCCTCAGCAAGGACAGGCCTCCAGCAACATTGCTGTTACCAGGCTCTTTTTCTTTTCTTTTCTTTCTCTCCCTCCCTCTCTTCCTTTTTTGCTGGTCCTAGAGCTTGAACTCTGGGTCTGGGCGTGGTCTCTGAGCTTCTTTTGCTCAAGGCTAGCACTCTTACCACTTGAGCCATACACTGCCACTTTCAGCTTTTTCTGAGTAGTTTATTGGAGATAAGAGCCTCAAGGACTTTTCTGCCCCAGCTAGCTTTAAACTGTGACCCTCAGGGGCTAGGAAGGTGAGGCCCTGGGTTCATTCCTCAGCACCACACAAGCAAAAAGAAAAAAGCTGGAAGTGGCGCTGTGGCTCAAGTGGTAGAGTGCTAGCCTTGAGCTGAAGAGCTGAGGGACAGTGCCCAGGCCCAGAGTTCAGGCCCCACAACCAGACCCCCCCCCAAAAAAATAAAAATAATAATAAAAAAACCTCAGATCTCAGCTTCCTAAGTCGTTAGGATTATAGGCATAAGCTACTGGCACCCAGTTCTGCTCCTTTCGTATGATATAGCCTAGGGAGCCATTCATTTCTGAGTCTTAGTAACTCTTTGATGTCGGAAGGGCTGGTGGGAGGCAGAAATGCATGGAACTCAGCTCACAGGAGAACGTTTAAAGTTAGTATTTCTAGTAACCAAAGTGGAAGGTGGGTTCCTCCAAGGCAGAGGCTCTTTCTCCTTCATTTCCTAATCCTTGCCCTCCATCCTCCTGGGTTCATCTATCTATACAATGGCGCCACCATCCAGTTAGTAGAGTATAGGCTTCACCCTGCTGTTCCCAAGTCCTCCCAAGAGGGAAGACAGCACTAGGAGAGAGCTCACTAATAGCAGACCCTATCTGTAGAGAGTGAGGAAGTCCCTCCTTCAACAAAAAACTCCAGTGCCCACGACTGAAGATCCAGGAAAGTTTGTGAGTGGCAGTATAAGGGAATACCGTTTTATATTTTCTCTTTGATGTGTGGTGTCATATGTTAGAGGTGACAAGGCAGGTTTGAGCAGAAGCAGTGTGAAGTAACTGCTATGGATGAAGAGGCAAAGCTTCCGCCAGTAGTAGTAACTCTAGTTTTAGACCAGATCATTTTGTCTTACAAAAGAATAAGGAAAAAGAATCCTATAGTATCCAGGCCCCCACTGTGTAACACTGGTGTGGCTACCTGTCAACACTTCCTAGTACTTTAAAAGGGGAGTTTCCAGATTCAGAACCTCAACTGTTTATAAATGCTCATGAATTTATGTGATTCAAGTCCTTCATATATTTTTGCTTCTGAAAAAACTGTAGCGCTCAGGGTCTAAAAATCAAAGATATCTGTTAACTCTGGAAAAATTTTATAATCTTTCTAATTACTCATCTACAAAATGGGGTAACTGTGGCAATTATTTCACAGAGCTGTTATGAAATTAAATTATCCCTATGTTTGGTATCCACGAGCTTTTGATAAACTTAAGTTGACCTACACTATAGTCACAAGTTTGTTTTTTTGGTGGTGGTGGTGTTAGGATCAAACCAATGGTCTCAATTAACTACATAATCACTCTACCACTGAGCTACATTCCCAGCCCAAACACAGAATAGTTCTAAGAGCAACCATGATACATCTGTTTGGATGCTTTTAAAGAACACCGAATACTCTTTTGACATAATAGAAATTCACTGACTCCTTATGGAATATCACTCCTATAATGTAAAATAACAACACAGTCACCAGATGAGACAGAAAAGCTGTGCTATCATAAACCTGTTTGTTCTTTTGCAAGGGATCATTAGGGACAGTTTTTTTTTTCATTAAAAAATCCCTTGTAACATTGCAAACTCATTTAAGTAAAACCAGACAATGAATTTCTCTTTGAGATAGGTTCTGTTTGTCATGGTCAACACTGTGACTTGATTACTGGTATCCTAAATGTCTGTTGATGGAACAAATTCCCCCCCCCCCCTTGCCGCCCTGCCCTGTATCCCTTTTAGTGCCAGTACTGTGCCTTGAATTCAGGGCTTGGGCGCTGTCCTGGAGCTTTGTTGCTCAAGGCTAGCGTTCTATTACTTGTGTCATAGCTCTACTTCTGGCATTTGGTGGTTAACTGGAGATTAGTCTCACAGACTTTCTGGCTTGGGCTGTGTTGAATAGGGCTCTGGTGGCTTAATCCCATATTCCTACCAACTGCGGAGTTTGAGATCTGAGGATTAGAGTTCAAAACTAGCCTGGGCAAGAAAGCCCATGAGACTCCAATTTCCAATTAACCTCCCCCTCCCTCCCCCCCCCCCCCCCCCACAGGAAAGAAAAAAAAAAGATGAAGTAGAGCTGTGGCTCAAGTGTTAGAATGGCACCCTTGAGCAAAAAAGCCTCAGGGACAGTATTCAGGGACTGAGTTCAAGCCACAGTATCTGCACAAAAATCAAACAACACAACTGGTAGACTACTCAGGAGGCTGAAATCTGGGGATCATGGTTAAGAACTAGCCTAGGCAGGCAAATCTGAGACTCTGATCTCCAATTAACCAGCAAAAATCCAGAACTGGAGGCATGGCTCAAAAGGAGAGCAAGAGCTATGAGCAAAAAAACTGACTGTGAGGCCCTGAGTTTAAGCATGCAAAAACCTAACTAATAAACAAAATGTCTGTGGTAGTGTCAGGCATAGTAACACTTCTGCATAGTCCCAACTACTTGGAAGGCTGAAGAAGGAGGATCATTTGAGCCCAAGAATGTAAGAGGCTAACCTGGGTGACATGGCAAGACTTTATTCTCTGGGGGTGAAGGAAGGTAGTAAAAGTGGTAAAAAACACATAAAAC